TATATGGTAGCCCATGCTATCAACTAGAAGTTGGTCCCTCTATAGGATCTCATGGCCACGACAAAAAAAAAACAAAAAAACAAAAGCTTCTTTTTTTTTTTAAAACTTACAGTTACAGTCATCTCTTAATTTATGCCAGGAGTTATGTAAATGAAAAATGAAGTCGAGATCGATATGAAGCTTGAGTCGTAGACCTTTTTAATGCCCAACACTGTTGAATTGTCATACTGGTTTAGGTGTGTAGATTTCTAACAGTAACATATTTTAGTAAGCACTCATGCTTTGTATTTTAAAAACACAGTTTGGTTTATACAAAGAGAAATAAACTCTTCATCACCATTATATTGGCCAGCAAACAGTATTCATAAAAAGGGTTTCTTATACAGATTTTTAATTTTGCTTGTGTAGTTGGGTAACTGACAGACTTCCTACAACACAGTGTGACATGCTACTGTGTACTCCATTTAAAGTTATTAAAGAGCATTTTACTAATTTATTTATATATAGATTGTATGTAGATTTTTTTGAGATCATATTAATTGAGAGACTACATGCATGCACTTAGAACTAATCATTTAAATCAATAAAAATGGTCTAATTTGTGAAAGAAATGTCACCAGTCACATCACCTACTGTATGATGTACAGTATATTTTTCTCCATACATGATTAAAGTTGTGGTAGGAAAAAAACATTAATGTGAAAGCTATGGGTTTAATATATGTGGACGCCACTCTCCTTCTCATTCTCAGAATGTGAAACTCATAACAAGCTCATTATCTTAAACCTGCTCTAAGCTGTATTACTCAACGAAGCTTGTAAAGTGTGTGTGTGTGTGTGTGTGTGTGTGTGTGTGTGTGTGAACCTTCTGTTCAGTTAAACCCTACTACAAAGTCCAACTCGATTGTGGCAAAGACTACATCTCTTTTTATGTCCCTGCTGTTGAACCTGAACACAGTAATGCCTGGCCATGAATGTTAGACTGAAAACTACAGAAAACCCATGTTTTAGAAAAGGGAAATATGATCTGATCATCATGCCATCTCAGATGCCTTTATTTTCTCTTCTTCGTTTTTAAAGATTGGTGGGAGTCTCAGATTCATGCACCATGTCTTCACACTTCACTGGCTGATATGACACTTGAAAGAGAGTAAATAAAGAGTTCTAAGAAATATATATGACCCTGGTGGTAAGTAAATGTGTCTTAGCTGTAGATCATATACAAGGAAAAGCAATCCTATCCTGCTTTAGGAGAAGAGCTGCTCTGGCTTGTCTGTTCAGTAATGCAGCAAGCTCTGTCACCATGGTTACAGCACACATTCCTCATCAGCCGAAGATCATGCACTGCACACACTCACATACTAAACACTATTACAAACAGCCCTCAGTTTAACATGCTTAACTCATATTCTTGGTTGTTGCGATAAAATCAGATCAAATTAAACAGTAAAGTATGGATTCTGATCTTTTGCTTTAGTTATATAATGCATGGTGGAGTAATAATTCCATGCAGTTTTATGTATTTACAATTATAAACATGTTAGGCAAGGGCCATTGTGATGGCATGGTCAGCAAATTTAACATTTTGCCTACATATAAGTTTATTGCAAAAAAATTAAAATACAATACAAAAATATTGTTTGTGTTTTGATTATTTTACTATTTAGTTCTTTTTAACATAAAATAGTAATAGAAAATTAGTTTCCTGTGTTTATTTACAAAGTGATATAAAAAGCACAATTCCATCTTATTCCAATTCCAATTCCATCCAACTTATGGTGATCTCAGGGTTATATGTACGAGAACAGTATGTCAATTTATGAAATGATGCTGCTGCTTGTTTTTTCTATTTACTATAGCTGTCAATCCACTGATGCCATCTGTTTTGTATGTTCTAATGCAATGGCTTTTGCACCTGGTGGTAAGCTGGTTTGTTCAATTCAAATCAAGCAAATAAAACAACATATATCTGAACAGAATGGAATGCAAGACTCAATCCAATTTATTTTTTCTTTCTGATATTTATGCATTTAATGGAACAAAATATTTTCCATTCAAAATATTCAATTTCCTATTTCATGTATTCAGGTTAAAGTTATATTGAAGCTCTGTTCCTTTAAAAACCTACACTGAATTGCATTGCCTTTTCAGGTCATTATGTTTAACTCAGTTTTATAGACATTTGGGTAGAACAAATACAAAATACAAAAAAGAGAGCTCTTAATGATCACTAATATGATTCATGGAAAGAAGGCAAAATGTATATAAAAACAGAGAAAAATATTTAATTAATATCTGTAAGTAACTTAAGAAACGGGTGCACACTTGATTAAATTCAATAAATGTGTAATATTTTAGTCCATAATATGTCCTTCATAACTTATACTAAAGTATACTGCTCTGACCCCTCTTTGCATTGAGTGTACATGTTTGTGACTAATTGTCACATCTAAGAATGAGATCCGTAAATTCCCTGGACTTTAATAGGGAGTGTTGCTCAACTTGTCTCTACAAAATCCCCCACAGGTTCTCAAGAATGTTAAGCTTGAGTGAAACACTTCTCCACTAACAGAAGGTTTTTCACATTGGGAAAATGTATATA